CAGCTATATGACGGCGGTCTGGACGAGGCAGTCCAGTGATTAATATCATGAGCATCGATCCACGCAATTGGGATCGATGACATGCATCAACCAAGTCAGCGAGCCTGACCACCCGATCCCGTTAGTCGCCTTTTACGACAAGCATAGACACCTTTTACGGCAAGTATGGGTTGCTGAAGACCTATTCTACCCCGGAATCTTCACGGGTATTATACATGATTAATAATGGCAGAACTACAACAATAGACCATTTTAAACAAGAGTCATCCCTCAACTATCCACGCCTCCGTGGTCTAGTGGTAGAGCGTCCGCCCGGAGAGCGGAAGGTCCGGGGTTCGATCCCGGGCCGCGTCATACAAAAAGACGTTAAAAGATTGTACTTGTTGTTACCCTGTCTGGCGCTCGGCATTAAGGGGCTAAAACAAGGACTGGTCGGCTCGGAGTCAGTATACTGTGTCTGAGTGGGGTATTCATGTTAAACTGCGGCATGGTATCTCAGTGAGCTAGCACTATAAATCGGCATCAGTCCGGACTAGTACAAGCAGCCACACACACACATACACGTGCATGCACGTCGCTATATAAGTGCAATAATCTTGGACGCGACGTTAAACCCAATTTCACCTCACCTCACCTCACCTCAACTATCCTCCCCAGTCTGGTATTTAGGGAATATTCAACGGTTTAGAAGTCCTGCTCCTGAACCGGGCTGACTTACGGACAGGCATGCATATCGCAATGGGATGAGATGTATAGTCATCTTAAACTTAACTTAAACACTAGAAAAGGTTGAGGACACTAAAAATACACTTATAATAGACACATTATTTATACAGAATGTCAAACATTTATGTGTTCTAATATGTGGTCCCAAGGAGAAACAATAAAAAAATAACATTGCTGCTCATCACAACATCTTATATCTCTATACGTCTATGGTTACACCAGCTAGATAACGGTGTAAGAATCTTCATCGAAACGTTGCTCAATGCAATACACAAGATGTTGTTATCCACAACGTTGTACGTTTTCTTATTTACTTTCTAACTTCTAGAGTGCCAATCAAACTATTAAGAGAGAGTCTATTGTTTCCTATGTAGAATTAAGGACTCGCGTTTGTGACGGGTGCCACCGGTGGGGCAGGGTACGCTCGCCCTTTCACGAACACCTGGTATCATCACTATTTGATAATGATTCATCAGCACATGCTCATGATATAATCGGAATCGTACAATCGACTCTGTTTTTGGCAGAGATTTCTAATGAATATGGAAAGGATTTTGTCGATTTTATTCACCGTCATAATTGTCGCTGACCCGTCATATCTGGAAATTGTTTCTGAATGGAAAATCATAACATATTTTGAATTAGTTTATAACTATAACCGTCATACGCTAACTTTTCAATCCAGCATTTTTATATGTGTGTTGAAGTCGGCGAAAACAGAGCTTGCTCTCCAGAAATGGTTGTAATCACTGAGGCATAATGCCTCTGAAAAGTGCTGGTAATTGAAAAATATGGTATGGGAATTTGAAAGTAAATAAAGTTATAGTTTGTTGCAAATGTGAACAATCTGAACAAGTGTATACTTGGTGTTTATGTTTGGGATAATCGACATGATATTATTGCCTTCGAAATGCTTCGAAAAACATTATTATCCATTTTCTACTCCAATGGACATGGAAGTGAGTAGAAATGGCTAAAAAGTACTGAACTGATGTAATGACACACAATTGTCCCTTTAAGAATTCTCCCTTGAATATATTTGCAACATTATTGTTGACTGGGGATACACTGGTATTGGTATTGATTAACAAACCGATAATATAACTGCCAGTGGTTTCAATAAAGTTTAACCCTCTCATTTTTTATTCATACAAAACCTCCAATGATAACAACATTTACAGAGGATTGCCTTCAAGGATTGGAACTTACACAACACGGGTTACTATAACATTGTCATGTTCTCTAAACATATCTGGTTATTGATGGACAATGATATGACGAGATTTTGGCTCGTAATACGCCATTATAGTAATATTGTATAATGGTTTCATTGATCGTTAATGTCCTACTTGATTGCTGCTGAATATCATCCTGATATCATCCAGGGTATTACAACCCTGTTCTATAATGACAAATACCCTGGACTCACTCCCACCAAGGTGTCGTTCCAGGAGTGACGTCATCATCTCTACATTCTTATCATTAACATAGCAGGTTACTTTTCTCTCTCATTATATAATGTGGTTAACGTTCATGTAAGAGCTCAGAAGATATATATGTCTACTTAGACCTCAAGCTTACCATTGTAACAATAAAAGCAAAGAAATGCATGTGAAATGTGTGACAGCAAATACATCGAGGATGTTTAAATATAAAGCGTATAAATCATTACATGTTATGTATTTGCCTGACCTTTGAAAATGGTTCACATGTTGTTAAATATTCAAAGCTATTTAACTGTATTTGTTAATCATGATCACGATCAGAACAAAATGTTTAAGATATGTCAAGGAAGCTCTAAATTATAGGCATTCATTATTATCACCTGTCACTGTTCATTGACGCAAGGTGTTTATTTTGAATGTGTGCTACTTTCTTGTACAAATGATTATGATGTATTGTATTGTACATGTGTCGATAGCCTTAAATCCGAAATAAATATAATTTAATTTAATCTGACTGGCCGAATATGTTAAGCAGTGTGTGATAGGATACGGATCAAAACGAAGCTATGTTAGCAAATTAGCCCAGGATATTTATCTTAATAAGTGAGTGAGTATGGTTTTACGCCGCATATTTCAGCAATATTCGAGCAACATCACGGCGGTGGACACCAGAAATTGGCTTCACACATTGTACCCATGTTGGGAATCGAACATTGGTCTTCGGCGTGACGAGCGAACGCTTTAACCACTAGGCTCCACGACCTCCCTTTATCTTAACAGAACGGAAACAATACACAAGATAATCAAGGATGCAAGAGGATGTTTTTTCCAATCATTATTAATGCATCAACATAGTTTTACAGGAGGAAAATGTTTAAATATGTTAAAATATTATGTATAAAAAGACGCAAATAGTATGCTAAATAGTAGCCAGACAATTGCAATGTATCCATCCATATGGTCGCGAAGAAACGGCAATATACAATAACATAACCCACAAAAACACACAGGTGGTGACATTATTTTCAAACGTTAATTTCGTGGTTGGAAAGTATTCCGTGTTGATCAGCTATGTGAAAATAGAGTCTACTTCTTATTTTTGTCTTTGATAGAACTAATATCGATGACCCTTAACATATACATGAAAGCAATTTTCACGTGCAAGTCATGGAACCTGTGTTTTTGGCAAATTTTCACAAATCATTCTCATTTTGATAATCATTATGTCAAGACTGAATAATAATGCTTGTATATTACAAGCACCAGTGCCCTGGCAATGTAACGTTGCCCAGAGCCCATTTTCCGGACTTTAGGCCAGGTTCACACAGTGCCGATTATGGCTCCTGTTTGAGATCAGACTGCGCTACGACACGAAAAGTGGAAAAGTCGGATTTACTATCCTCAATGATCTGGAATGTCCTATCATTGTCTGAACGCAGTCGTATACGTTCGTAACATAGTCCTACGGATCGGGAAAGGTCCAGAGAGGTCGGCCAAGCACTCCCGACAGTATGGTGCGTCCCGTAACAGCCGATTTTGTCTAGTCGGATTACAATCGTGACTATGTCGTGACAATGTCCTGTGTTGTCTGGACAATGTCCTGTGGATCGGACGCTGTCGAGATGAACGGGCATGAATTGTTCATGGACGTTTCTTGTCGATTGAGTCCAAATTGCGTCCAGATCTTGCCGAATGCGAACCGTCTTTGTCGCTTCACTGCCCGGTCACTGTCTGATCTCTGTCGGATTGCATTCGGGGCAATCGGACGCTGTCGGGACAGATTCGGTCGTTTTTTACCATGCGGAAGATACAAATATGATCAGATTCGGATTGAAAACACGAGAATCGGTACGAATTCGGCTAAAATCGACAGAATCGGGACGCTTCCTGAACAATATCTGATTGTTTGTGAATTTCCCACAACGAATCACAGGATCTGGATCAGATTTTTGACAAGATTTAATCGGGAATTGTCCTATGAAGGACGGCAGTAAAAATCCTGAATGTGTGACTGAGCCCTAATGCACGACTTTGGCAAGGTTTCACCAGAAAAGATCATCCAAGTTCAGGAAGACCCTGAAGAACACATCAAACTTCTTTAAGGATTTCTTGAAAGCTCAGTATATACACTTTCTGCTTCAGCCGTCAGGGTCACCAGATTAAAACCAATTTAGCATATGTGGGATGAGCAGCTGGACAGACGTTCACGTCAATGTGAACCAGGGCCACATTTTGAACCTGCAGCAATTACGTGAAGCTCTTCAGGAGGAATGGGTTGTCATTCCTCAAGTTGTCTTCCACAGGCTACTTGGTGTCAAGCAGTCATTCAGGCCAATGATGGACACTCACTGTGGCGTGCTATAGATACATGTAAACACTTGCACAGATTTCTCCATCAATGTTAGATGAACTCTGTGACACTTTGTAATCTTCCAAACACATGTATAGCTTTTGAAGCCAAGTAGAAGTCACAGAATCAGTCTGAAAACCACATATGCGTATCATGTTTTCGAGATTATATATGATTACTGATGGACGTCTTAATAAGTCATCTTTAGTTGAAACAAGTGTTACACATTGTTTTATATTATCCCAGTTGTGATATGTATATGATAAAGATTGTTTTTTTATAAAAGTATGTATGTCTTCATTTTCAATACGAACACTAAATATGTGGCATTATTTCATTACCAATAATCAACCATCTGCCTTCAGTATCCTTTAGACATCTGCACTTATCTAAATGTAACAAACATATTACGGAAAATGTATCTGCATCCAGTGACATTGTGCGTGTATTTTGTTTTTGAAATAACCACGAACAAGAAGTAACTTTAAGCATTTATTTGGACACAACTATAGTATTGCGCCGTATTAAAGACAAAAGCCATTAAGATGTAACATTGTCTGCCACTGTAGCTCAAGCAAGAGATCCCGAGGGTATATGAATAAAACACCACAGCGGACGAACTAGCTATGAGTTCATTTGGAAATCAATGTATTCTCAGTCTTGTAAATTACCAGCTTTTCTGGTTGAACAAAGGTTTTGGTCAATTTCACGATGAAGTGTGTGAAAGTTTGATGAGAATGCATTTTATGTTCTTTTTTCTCTTGTTTTGTCGGTCCTTTGATTCATTCCTACACACGACAAAACTTTTATATCAAAAGTAATTTTGTATAAATATGTTACCTTTACAGACTGAGCATGACACAGATATATGATACATGTATTTTATTTATGTGAAAGATTGATTTTGGTGACATTCAATAGTAGTTTCAGACTCTTTTATTCATGATAATGCAAATAGGGGGACCCATTTGTATATGATTATTCGTATCAATGTCCATTACAAATTCGATTAATTTCTTAATTTCCCAATCACTAGCGGAGTGACAGAGACTTTATTTCAATGAAGTTCATAGTACATAGCTCGTCAGCTGCACCAGTAGTTGTACAATGAGAATGAATATGAAAATAGGTTTGTTATGGACGCTACACCGGGCAGACAAGCAGTTCAGACAGCGCTACAAACAGGTAACAGTATGGCCGGCTTTGAACACAAAGACTTGAACAAAAATGCATACACCCGTAGATAAGTTGTAGACAGGTTCGAGATCTTTTGTTGCGAAGAACAAACATTGTGCGACTTAGAATGAGGAAGAACCAGCTCATTTCAAATTACGAATTACAAGATTTATTTTTAATGTTGGATTTTTAATTTTGGGTCTTGAATCTTTTAAAAGTAAATTGAAATGAGCGTAGGATACAGAAAAACAGACACATAAACCATCAACATCAGGTTCACCTCCCTTGATCTGATATAGACAAAAGTAACTGACAAATGATGGAGAGGTAAACACATGCATGTTGAATGTTATGGAAAAATAAAAAAATAAAATCCATGAAGAAAAAGTCAAATTCTTAGGTATTTTTCATATTTTATTATGAAATTTACTTTAGTCCGTCATGGTAATATCATTTACAATGTCTTGTATATTCCGTATGACCTATATACAAAGAAACATCCGTAAATTCGATCTGAAATAGGAATTTACAGATTGGAACTTTTTACAAATAATTTTACAGTTTCAAAGTATAACAAATATCTGAATAACTGCTGAAACATAGAGAGCCTAATCATTTTGAGCACATGAATTTATCAGTCATGTTTTACTGTGGAATTATCGTTAAAATATCAAAATTCCTTTGCACCGGCATTCATTGTACACTGGAAGAAAAAGCAACATTTCCAAGTTTGGAAAGGACATGGAAAGACCGATCGTTACCACATTTCCTGAGTAACGCAAGGGGCTGTAAACAATGTTTTCAAGATAAGCCCCTTTCTTCTAGCGATTTCCACATGCACTTTCATTCTCAGGAATATTTTCTTTCAAGGCTTTGAAAGATTTTTTCGTTTGGAAATCACTTATTTCCAAGAGTTTGGAAAGAGAACTGTTTCTTCCAGTGATAGACTCTCCTTAAGTTCAACAGTCTCAGGGATTTTAACAATATGTACATATGTATTGATCACAGCATATGGGTAGACAAATGAAAAATATAAAATATCATAGTGACTCAGAAGAAAACACGGTAAAGCACCTTCTGAACAATCTTACATGTACATTGTAGATGTACAACGCATTACACCTTTAGAAATATATCTGTTAGTGATGGATAAGTATATTGTGCCATTTAATCTCAATCAAATTTTATATGGCCATGTGTACGCATTAGTGTCTCCGCGTACGGCCTTGTGTGAACGAGGATAAGAGACTGAAAACAGGTATTAGCAAACAAAGACACTAAAGAATGACAGAGCACTATTTCAAAAGGTATATCTTTTTGCAGAATAAGAACAGTGCTTACTGTGGGTTTTGATAACTGATGCCAGATAGTGTGATTCATTCCGGCTATTAAGAATGATTAACGAGTGAACATAAATCTGATTACAATTAGTAGTTTTACAACACACACTGTAAATTAAGTATGTTCTGGCGATAGGGTATATATTATTTACACTGTTGTGCTCTGTTCTGTTTTATGTGGCTACTTCAAAAGCATCTGCATTGACAATAGTCAGGAAGGTGGAATTGATTTGCATTTTTTCTTCAGCATTGTAATGAATAATTCAAACCGCAATACCACTGTACTAGTGTGGAAGATTAGATGGTCCAGTATTGATTCTGGTTGTGCACAGACACTGGTAATCTTGGCCAATGTGTATTAGATATGTTGATTGACGCAAACACCACGATACCACTGTTATAGATGATAGACACACGGCAAAGATCTTCACAATACCCTGGGATCATATGATCTGCCCGGAATAGCAATATATTTATATATTGAATAAATCTTGGATAAAAATAACTTTTTCTTTCTCACTCTCTCAGTCTCTCTCTTTTTCAGCTTTAACATTGTGATTACGTCACATTGTATTGAACCCGTTGAGACCACGATCATGTCTCGTGACTTCGTTAAGCAACCACTTATCACTTGTGCTTATCTGCCTTTCTGCATATCTTGCACTTCTCTTCTTACTGCTTCTCCTCTTTCTTCTCCTTCTCCTCGGCTGAAAGAGAAATACGTCGCAATAAAATGTTTGTTTTGGAAAATGAAAAACATATTTTCACCACAGTCGTAGGTTAGTGACTATGGATTATTTAGAGTTAATTTCGGACAAAATCCTATGTCCGGTTATCCCAAGTATCAAGCTCATCTATCAAGGTAACTGCCACACTTTATGAATGTAATGTCTCTACAAGTGTGATGTCCATCAATTTATCAGTTCATGACCATCATAGTTACACAGAGACACAAAATGTCTCAGTTCAACACAATTAATTAAATACACAAAATCTAAACCTAGACTGCTATGTTGCTCCAGGGTATAGAACATAGTGCCTCTTTAACAAGCAGGTAATAACAAAGAAAAACATACCTTTAACTGCCCCCTCCTCTGTTGTCTTTTCAGCTGTGCCTGTCTTCTCTGCACTTTCTACTGTTTCCTTAGCCTGAGCTGTTTCTTCCAACTCCTGTTCTGCCTCGTCTGGTGTTTCCTCTGTCTCCTGTTTTTCCTCCACCTGGTTACTATCAGCCATTGGGGCGAGCTGGCTGTCCTCCACGGCCTGCTCTATGTTATATTCTGCCTCGGGATTCTGTACATCGTCCAGGAGAGCGTTGGCAAGCATGTCAGCTGAAAAGAGATTCATCAAGAGGCTATAAGAGCGAGTGTGTTGGCCCAAAAACGTTCTTGGCATACAACTAACAGGCACTACGTTTAAATGGTTCTGTAAGACAAAAAAAACCCCGTTTAGTTCGACGTGCGTATAATTGAGTTAGTTTTGTAAGTGTTCAGTAGGTGAACTGATTATTAATATTATGGAATAAAACACTTAAAGCATACACTTGACTTTCGTTAAGTGACAAATCCAAAGGTTGGAAGCCCTTTTTATCACGTACTACACATCTTACATGACCTCAATAAGCGAATGATCATATATTGCAACGAACATTGGAATTGTCTTTCTTGTTAACATCATTTACCAAAGGGCAATTTCATTAATGACTATAATCATATGCTAAGAGATACATACTTATCAGCGATGTTAATGTGTACATGTTATGTGTTGCGAATGTTCTGACAAGCTGATGTGTTGCAATAAGTTGCCATGAACCACCGGAGTGTTTAAAATATATAACATGCAGAATAATCAGTCCTGCGAAACATATTCCATTGGGCATAATAGACAAAATAGATATGAAAATTACATGTATGGACCACTGAAAATCAGTGAGGCTCCAGGTGTTCGCGAAAAGGGCCCTACCGTTGTCAACAGTGAACAGTCTGTAGTTGTTGCCTAACGCCACAAAGCAATACTTCTGCTATACCACGGCAGCCTATAACCATTCGAGTCTTCACCAGACAAGGCAAGTGATAGACTAGCTAATCCAGGGACACAGTGTCTTTTCTTAATCAATCTGCTTATATAAATGATTCAAGGGAATGTTCTAGTTACACCTTTTTTTCTACTTATATTCCTTGCGAATCGGGTTCAATGAATACTAAATATAAAATTTAGTGGTTCCAACAAGAGATTCGACTGTATACCAAGTGCAGACTTGACAATAAAAATAATTCTTACCCAAAATATCCCTGATCTGACCAATGTCATCTGGGTTTCCATCCCTGGACACAACATCATATAAGTAGCTGACCAGAGCTTGTGCCCGAGCATTTCCTGAAACGAAAGAAGATTGCTCTATATAGTAACAGTAGTGCGATATCAGAAGACAGTGTATTGAATTGTGTATCTGAGGCGGCACTGAGCAATATTCACTCGCTTAATCATTTACAGTGAAACCGTACTCCGTTCATCCGATAATTAAAAACATTTCGTGAAATGCTACAGCAGTAACAATGCGGCATTAATGTCTCGCTCTTTGCATTCTTTACATCATGAGCATCGATCCACGCAATTTGTGGATGACATGCATCAACCAAGTCACCGAGGGTGACCACCCGATCCATTCACTCTGCCCTTACGACAAGCATAGGTTGCTGAGGAGCTATATTCTAACCCACGCATATTTTTCGTTTTCAAGATTACTCTTATTTCTTAAACCACTGCTGGTGAGTGAATATTTATAAACGTTACATTGAACAATATTTCAGCTCGGTGACTGGCTGATTGCGTGTCATCATATTCTGACGACGTGGATCGTTGGATTATATCGATTACTGGATTGTCTGGTCTAGAATTGATTATTTACGGGTCGCCATTATATAGATGGAATATTGCTGAATGCGGCTTTAAAACAACAAACAAAACACAACTTCTAACCCGGAATACTATTGTTTTTAAAAAAAATAAAACCTTATTCAATTTAAAGTTGACATTTGTAGCTAAAGTGGAGTATCCCAATTACAGAAAAATATTCCTACCTCCTTCGAAATCTTTTTGCCACCAAGCATTGAGCAGAGCATCAATGACACCAGTTAGAGATTCATCCCCTTCGGAAAGAGCGTCATCGACAACTGCCTGTCTCTCAGCGTCAAGGTCATTTCCAATGTAGTTCTCGTATGCACGGTCAAGGCTGTAGAGGTCATCTGGAATCTGCTCGGCAAGGGGTGCCATGTTGGAGCGCTTCTCTGCCTCATCGTAAGCTGGGTAGTATCCCTGAAGGGGTTCTTCATTCTGGAAGGATACAATCATGGCGTGTAAACAGATGCAGTGTGAACAGGTACCGTTATATAATTCATTTCAAGCCATAATATGTGGTTTCTCGAAGACACGGTTTAAGATGACTGGCTTTTGTGTAACAGAAGCAATGCCAGGGTGTTGTATTGATCGATGGACACTGGAGACGGTTTGAACCACCATAATTTTATGTGTATCTTTACAAGACTTGTAAAGACGGGTTGTCGTGGTAAAAAGGAAGCTGGCAATTATGCGCTGATATACAGACATATTGATAAGCATGGGGAACAAGCATAAGTAAAATGACAGACACTCTGGTAAGGACGCATATTATTTGTCTCATGCAAAGTTAATTGGTAATGTGACTCTAACAGTAGCGTAGACGTAGTTCGGTAAGGCGTCTGAAATATAGTATAGCAGCATTTTGGCAGGTTTAACGACACCGTGCAATCCTACACTTAAGAGATATCAGGGATCGGCAGTATGATTTGATAAAGACAATGACCATACAGGCAGACAAGCACAGGTACGTGGAAAACACAAATGATAATATAACATATAGGAAGAGATGAAATAAAGACGAAAATGAAGACAAACATAGCAGCGATGACAAACGAACAGAATATATAAATGCAGGTTTGACAACATACAGAGATGAGGCAATTACAAACTTGAGGTAAGAAGACGTACAATAAGCAAGACAAACAAAAATTAAGATAAACAAGTAAAATGACATCACAGGTATTACGACGCATACAGTTAAAATGACATCAGAGGTTGGAAGGCAAAGGTAGAATTACACCACAGGTAGGAAGACACACACACACAGTTAAACTGACAACACAGGTTGGAAGACAAGTAGGTAAAATGACAACACAGGTTGTAAGGCACGCTGGTAAAAGGACAACAGGTAGGAAGACAAAGGTAAAATGACAACACAGGTAGGAAGACATAGGTAGAATGACATCATAGGTAGAAGACACAAGTGGGGAGACACATACGTTAAATGACAACACAGGTAGGAAGACACACATAAGGAAAAACGACATCATAAGTAGAAGACATACAACTAAACTGACATCATAAGTAGAAGACACATAGGTAAAATGACAACACAGGTAGGAAGACACACTTATGGTAAAGTGACATCATAAGTAGAAGACACAGATGGGGAGACACATATGTTAAATGACAACACAGGTAGGAATACACGCATAAGGCAAAATTACATAAGAAGAAGACACATAGGTAAAATGACATCATAGGGAAGGAAGACACACATAAGGTAAAATGACATCATAGATAGAAGACACATAGGTAAAATGACAACACAGGTAGGAAGACATACATAAGGTAAAATGACATCATAGGCAGAATACACACAGGTACAGTGACATCATAGGCAGAAGACACATAGGTGCAATGACAACACAAATATGAAGGTAGGAAGACACACATAAGGTAAAATGACATCATAAGTAGCAAGACACAGGTAAAATGACAACAGGTGGGAAGACACACATGAGGAAACATGACATCATAGGTAGCAAGACACACAGGTAAAATGACAACACGGGTAGGAGTGAGTGAGTGAGTGACTATGGTTTTACGCCGCGTTTAGCAATATTCCAGAAACATCACGGCGGGGGACACCAGAAATGGGCTTCACACATTGTACCCATGTCGGGAATCGAACCCGGGTTTTCGGCGTGACGAGCGAACGCTTTAACCACTAGGCTACCCGACCGCCCCAACACGGGTCGGAAGACACACATAAGGTAAAACGACAACACAGGTATGAAGTCACACATACGGTAAAATGACATCATAGGTAGAAGACACACAAGTAAAATGAAAACACAGGTAGGAAGACACAAACACAAGGTAAAATGACATCATAGGTAGGAAGACATAGGTAGGAAGACACGCATAAGGTAAAATGACATCATAGGTAGAAGACAGGTAAAATGACAACATAGGTAGAAGACACATAGGTAAAATGACAACACAGGTAGGAAGACACACACAAGGTAAAATGACATCATAGGAAGAAGACACATAGGTAAAATGACAACACAGGTAGGAAGACACACATAAGGTAAAATGACAACACAGGTAGGAAGACACACATAAGGTAAAATGACAACACAGGTAGGAAGACACACATAAGGTAAAATGACAACACAGGTACGAAGACACACATAAGGTAAAATGACAACACAGGTACGAAGACACACAAAAAGGAAAAGGACATCATAGGTAGCAAGACACACAGGTAAACATGACATCATAGGTAGACAGGCTAACACTCACAGCATAGTTGTTGACCTCGGCATTCTGTTCTGCCAGGAGACGTTGGTACTCAGAGATCACTTGTTCCTCGTAACGCTCAGCCTCTTCCTCGCTCATCTAAGTAGTAGTAGTAATAATAATAATAATAATAATAGCTTAAAATGTATGACCATGAGTATATGCATGTTAAACATTTGTTTAACCAAAGGTTGATACCCATAATACATTTGTTATATACATGTATGTTATACTCTTAGCAGTCTTAGCTTAAGAAATAAATATAAAACAGTTGTATCGATCATAACCAACGTTGTTTCCACTGTCCAATCATCAAACAGAATTCTGACTTCTGAATGAAGACATCTGCATTACCCAGAACCACGAACCTATTCCCAAAAGCAATAACACCCAGAATCAGCACTGTTTCATCTCCTTTTTTTCCAAGAAAATATAGAAAACTTTAATCTCACACCAAGATCGAACTGCCAGGGGGCGGAACTAGTCTATCTTAGAAAAAAAATCATTTTGTAGAATACTGAATTACGTGCTTCAAGAATGTTATTAGCATTTCACCTCTCGCTGTTGTTCGCGCTAGCTGAACAGAGCTCCGATATTAGATTTAAGTTGTTAACCCGTCTTCATGGTACTTTCCAACAAATCAATATCTGGAATGCGCTATGTAATTATTGGGCTCCTGTTAGCCTCAAGGTAGATCAACTGGGATTTGTGTGCTTAATTAAGTAACGCTGTTTTGCCGCCTGTTTATATGTTCAAGGAAATATAGGTCGCATTGTTTTTTCATTGGAAGCAGAGATGGTAGTGCTTTAGAAATTGAGCTCTGTGTGATAAGTTTTTCAATACTATTGATTGTTGTTTTTTGTATTCTCATACCATTTTTGCTGTGCACGAGGTCGTCTGTAAAACATATTTTGACATATTAAACTCAACTTAATTGCTCAAAGAATTGGAAATCGTTATATAGACTGAACGTTTACTTAAATCATATCAAATTTAAAGGTAAAAAAGGTTTCTCTTGAGAAATAAAGTTTCGTTCACCCTTCAAAATTAACGTTTCAAATTGAGGTCCTATTTTAAGAATCAGTAAAAGCATTTAAGCCCCCCTCTCTTTGATTAAAGAGTTCCGACTGTCATGCAATTTTGCGAGAGTGGCAACTGTCACTAAAAACGGTAAAGAGCCACCTCTATCGGGTTGGAAGATCTTAAGATTCTCATTTGTCAGTGAAATCCCTTAAAATCCTAACCGAGTGCCAATTTCGTCACCGAAATCGATTCCAGAGATTGACGCAAAATGTTGAGTAAGCTTTGAAGAGGAAGACCGCACGTCTTGGAAGCCCTAAACAAACCCTTCAAAGGATGAATCATTGATTGGAAACTTTTCAAGTCGGGATCGATGTAATTGTATCTAATTTGGTTCAATACATTTACGTCAGCCAAGCTATTTCAACGTAATTGACTCTGCCATCGGAACCGCTCGCCCATGTCACGGAGTTGCTGTATTATACGGAGGTTCTTTCACAGGAACATAATCTCTTTCAAAGAATCGATAACTCACTATAGAAGAACCGACGAGGTCTTTCAAAGCGGCATAAAAGTTGTCGAAGTCCCACGATTTCAGAAGGTATTCTGCAACTGCCGTAGGCGAGAACTCGATGCTGTCCTGGCTTGGCAGGCTTTCCTGAAATGTTAAATTCCCTTTGTAGAAATGATTAGGAGAAAAATACATTTTCGTTTTGACTATGTGTTGCTATGGGACTTTGCGGGCTGGGTCAGGAAACCGCCAGATTCCACGCTGAGCGGAATATCGATTTTATTCAATGTTGTGCGTGGGAGATAAATTGATGACGTCAGGCCCGAGCTTTGACGTCAGAACGTTTCCGGTGAGAGGCTTTGCGGTCTAGATCGATGTCCAATGTCTATTTTGGCCAATTCAATAAACCCCTTTCATTCACAGAACCAGTAGTGCGCCGCCGCAAAATAATTATTCTCCCGATTTAGAAAGTTTTCATTGATCTTTGCATGAGCGTCCGCTGTCCTGCATGCAGATCTGATAAGGTTTGCCATCATTGCTTCCTCGTGAAATGATTTACTTTGTTCATAAACAATATCTGTTCGGGAGATCTTTTGGCAGCGCCAGCAGGTAGCAAACAGACATTCAAGAGGGCACTCAAACTTGTGCGAATTAAACCCTTTCACGTTTGAATGAAAGCACTATCACGCCGCAATGAACGCAATCTGCCAGGAAAGAGGTTTCCTATCTGTTCCTGCTAATATTGCCTGGTTACATTTTACCACCACCGACACAGAGATATAGCTCCCATATTCCACACTGTCTCAAGATAAAACTCAGTTTACATAATCAATATTCCTGTGCAAGTTCATGTTTATCAACGGCCGTAAGATCGTAAAACCAATATTTCAAATTCGATTTACATTGTTATACGACCATGGCTGATGGAATATATTACAATAACATATTGATTTTCTTTTTACAGTTTTGAAAAGGACTCATACATGCATAATCATAATTGTGCTAAGAATAATGCATATGCCCCTTGAGACATATTTTACTGAATAAATTAAGAACTGTTATTTTAGAAGGAAATTATATTATCTTGTTTTATTCTCTCATTTATTTTTCTCTCTTCGGCGACAAATCAGCTAGGCTGACGGAAAGCCACACGTGGTTTGATTCAGTGATATTGAGAGCATGTCTGTACATTATTCATTAACATCTGACGAAAGCTTAAATCAATACCGGAAGTTGAGCATCATGCGGTGAAGATGCTGCTCTTTATATTGCTACGAAGGACAATGGATCAGCAGCTTGTTCAGTGGTGCAAAACACTGTATTAACTACATCACATAGTAACGGCAATGCGGCTCGAGCCGATTTTGTCGCAGTAGTATGAAGGTCTATTAGTCCGCTTACTAAAGAGTGTCAGCATGCCATCGTATGTGGGAGGGGAACCCAAATTTTCGCAGGTCTTACAATATTACCAATTGAGCGAAACTCATGGGAACGAGTATTAGTCTGACAGACCAAGAATCACAATCGAGGCAAATCTAGGATTCGATCCTCCAGGCAGTGGATCCTGGCCCGGGTAAGGGACGCAACTCTGCACAACAAATTGCAACACCCTAGACCACTGGGCAACTCTATAACCTTTAATGAGTGGATTGAACTGCAAGAAGATGTTAAGTAATGGCTCTGGGGTTCTTTTAAATTTTTCATGAGGTTGAAACCGCACGTTGCTGCAGCTTGTGCACATCAAGATTTAATCACTTGATAAAACTGTTTTTTCCGATGCTACTTCGATGCATTATGAAAAGAGCTGATAACAAAATCACTCCAGTGAGAATGTGCGAGCGATAAAAGGAATTGTTTATGAGTGAAGCAAAAGTGTTTTGCATTGAAATCAGGATTTTATCAGGGCTCAACGTAATGAAATCTGACCCAGACTGTCGGGATATAAATAGACGTCCAGCGGTAATGCTCGAACGTGTTTCCGTAGTTTTGCTCTTATAATATATTCACTCACACCTCCTTAGCATTTCCTTTTCACTCACTTTTTCTTATTCTTAGTTATGACGTATATTGTCATTTTCACCTTTGATGATAGCATAGTGGTTAAAGAATTGGCTCGTCACACCCTGGTCGAATCTAGCCATGAACACAATGCGTGAAGCCCATTTCTTCTGTCGCTGTGATTTGAATGTAAATGCGGTGTTATACCATACCCATTCACTTCTCTTGTGTGTTTAATTGACAAGCCCGTACGCTCTTCCCACCTTTGACTCCCCCCCACACACTCATACGCACGCACGCACGCACGCACGCACGCACGCCACACACAAACACACACACACACACACATTCATTCAGTCAGTGATTCATGAGACCCGTGAAGATCCTGGGTAGAACAGGTCTTCAGCAACCCGAGCTTGTCGTAAGAGTTGACTAACGGGATCGGTTGGTCAGGCTCGCTGCCTTGGTCGATGCCTGTCATCGCATCCCAATTGCGTGGCTCGATGCTCATGATGTCAATCACTGGATTGTCTGGTCCAGACTCGACTATTAACATATAGCTGGAATATTGCTGAGTGCGGCGTTAAGCAGCAAACAAACAATCATTCATGACGAGAACCTACCTCTTCAGCCTCTGCATCTGCATCCTCAACTTCTTCCTTGACGAAGGTCTCGTGTACACCTTTGTCGGGAATATCGACGTGTGTCTCGGCAATTTGATGCGGCTCACCAGTTTCATCGTCGTTTGTTTCAGACACTTCTTGTGTGACGTCAGCTAAAACCTTTCCTGTGTTTGTGTCTGTAACTGAGAAAATCAATTTTCATTTAGCAAAGCTGACACTATGACCATCCATAGGTCTTTGTTAAGGATGGAATCAGACGCGTTGAAGTGTTAACAACGCAATTATAGCTGCCTAAGTCTACCCCAAAGAACATTTACAGATGTGTGATATGAAAGCTCAACGTAAAGTCCGATTTATCAAGCTGAAACTACTCGGGCTTAATCGGCTTATTCCGTTGCTTGCGTATATATAATAATTCCCTGAGAAGCCATGGCGTAGTGATATTGCACTAACTCATTGTCAACCGCGTAACACCAAGATCCCAGGGCATATTGTTCGAAGTTTGAAGGTTATTTTGTGCTTAACAGACTTGGGCAGACACTTTCATTTGAAAACAAAATCAAACGGAGACATTAACAGTTGTGCTACTGCAGCCAGATTGTGGTATCACGTGATAGTCACGTGAGGTAAGAGGTCCCAATGGGACGAGACAATCCGAACGCGGAAAGTAATTAAAAGCATTCTTTATTCAACCTACCTTTTTGTTCTGTTTTCTCGGTTATTACATCTTTTCCATTGTGTGTTTCAACATGGGACACTTGACTTTTGTGTACAGCAACGTCATTGGCTTTACTCTCTGCACCTGCAATATTCAAGATCATCATTTCCTTAGACCAAGTCAAATGTATCATTCATTTCTGGAATAATCAGAAAAAGTTGGGAAATTAAGAACAATTCCCCAGAACAGAACCCCAGTTAAATCAGACAGTACCAATGTCAATTGATACGATATTACTTAACATGAGTCGGTTTCATGCGCAAATGGCATGCTATTCGTCCGCCAACATTTCCAAACATGCCGTCAGATTTACCTCTCACCTGGGCACTCGGAAAATCTCTATCCAGTGTCGAGTAGTATATATGTGCATATCTAGAAGCCCTGGCATATTTGTCTGGCATTCAGGGTTACCAAATGCTTAGCAAACGCAGAATTCTAAAAGGCATTTTTTTAGAAAATAGCAGGCACATGACTGCAAATAAGCAGCTTTCTCGTGACATTTTCTTGTCTTACGATTGATAGTTGCTTAAACCTTTCACATCATAGAGCTCTCATTATCACGAACGTAAGTCTGTTTACATCTCCTTGCCGTCGCCGATAAAAGAGCACTTCTTTATCTCTTGTGAACTTGTGAAAGATTTCTGAGAACAATTGTCAGAAGTTATTTTGCACAATGCCCTTCAAAACCATTTGAAGCAGCAGCATCAAAGAACACAAGAGCGTAACGTTTTGTAGTATTTGTGCTTCAGCGTTCACGCAGTATAAACTACTTGGCCATTGCTTTTGTCAAGTCCTATTTGCAGGATAAAGTTTCCCTAATGTCCTAATTCCTGACGTTGCATGAAAAGGTCGCCTGGTACAAGATGACAAATAGGTTCAAATGTAACATCTGAGCATCGAATAGAACTCGAGTGAAAGGTCGAACACAAGAAGGGTATTTTATCTCTAAACGAGAACTGTTTTATTGAATCGAATACTTTTGCCTGTAAAGTAAAAGGGCATTAGTGTTCTTAAGTAGAAAGGAAGGTCCGTTTGTATCCGGCGTTAATGCATCCTTACAGTTAATCAGCGTGATGCAGAAGGAGTGACAAAGTACGTTCATATTGGTCACTTAGGAATAGTTAGCCTGAGTTTCAGATGAGATTGGCATTTGCGTAAAATACGCAAAATACATCACCATAACTATGAATCTTGACGTGTTATTTAAAGACATATTCCAGCTCTATGCAGTCTGTAAATAATCCAATCTTAACCATACAATCCAGTGATCTGCATCATGAGCATCGTTCTACGCAATTGGGATACGATGACATGCATTAACTAAGTCAGCAAACCTGACCACCCGATCCACTTGGTCGCCTTTTTCGATAACGGTTGCTGAAGACTACTTCTATGCATGGGGAATAGTGACTTTTGTCTGAGACAGACCATACTTTCATTCAGTGTCAAGGACTTACATATGCTTCTCTGAAGGAGGCAAACAATTACTTGGGGACCGATCCCATTATCGTTCTCAAACCCATGCCCAGTGAACACATAGAGATATATTTTGAAGACTAGATTATTTTTTTTATCATATTCGGGAAATATTATTTAAAAAAAGAATACCATGCCAAACCCATCACACCCGGCTGAGCGGAAACATTATCTTTGGAGCAACCTCTAAACATAGATAAACAATTCCAGCCCTTGTAAGAATGTTGTTCTATGGGTCTATATACGTGATACCTATCATGTACGATCTACTTAAACGCGTTATCGATTACCTAAACGAGAGTTATGGGTCTATATTGAGGATGTTCATAAATTAGTTAGTGTTATGACGTCAATGGTTTGAGCATCAAGCAGCAAACGAACAAAAGATTCTGCCATTTCCAAGGCCGTAAAACCAAGGTCTCATGTCCTTGGGGTAAATGGCACTATGTTATTTCCGACAAGAATAACATCAAAGAAGGTAGTTTTAGGTCTCTGAGGCCTTCAAACTTGTTTCCAGTGGGCGACATGCTGTGGATTAACCTATTTGCGTCGCTTGTTGCAAGTCGTTTTTCGTTCCCCTTTGTAACTGAACTGTAACAGCCTTCACTAATTCAAAACAATATGTCAAGAACGTATTGATCTCATCTTTCCGACAATGACATAACGGCTTGGCAAGGCTTAATAATGCTTTTAGAGAAAGCAGTTAAAAAAGACAAGCATTGTCATAAACTCTACTTTCGTGACATACACCCTTACGCGTTCGCAGTGTATTGCAGTGATTTGGGTGTGTTAGTACAAATTATTTATACCATCTCAAAACACAAAGAATAAAGACCATTGTTGGTACCATCGGGTCGTCACAAAACATATCGATGGGAATGGACTCAGAAGACTACTGGGCGTGTTAAGACCAGGGTTCAATACGCATTCATGTCTGCAGAAATGTGTCAGTAGGGTTATTAGTACGTCTCCTCAGGAGGCGTCTGGATCTGTACATTGGAGCAATTATTCAGGCTGCTCAACGATGCAATGATGCGTCTGATGAGGACGGCCGCAGTGTCTGTAGGTCTGTAAGTTCCAGGAAATGACACCATGGCCAGTTATTGAGAGAACTCTTCTGGCGTTCGAAATTGCAGTAATGAATGCTGGGATCTGGCCTTCTTTGAGTTCGATATTGAATCGATTAATCAGGTTTAGGTAAAAAACAAAGTGAATACTCACCAGCGAGAGCAACTAATTTTTCAAGTTCAGCTTCCTGATCTTCAACCTAAAAGAAAAAAGTGTAATACCATTATAAGGTGATCTCATTTGGCCACGCAGGTGTAGGGTTTCCAAGACAAAAAAGGTAAAGACATGTTTCGAAATGTATCTCATTTTCGTGGTATTTTAAAATTGCTGAGTTATTTTAGTTTTCTCGCTATCAATACTTTTGGTTTGGCACGATGATAAAATGGTTTTACGGTTATGTCAAGATTGTCCGATGTTAATGGAAGAGTGACCTTTCTTTGTCAATACTATTGGCAACATGATTGACGACAGTTTGAATTTATTTAATGCCTAATTTCTTATCATCATTTTGAGTGATATATTGATAAAAAAAACACACATTTTTTTATGGCTTCAAATATTTCTTTTTTTAAGGATTGACAATGGTTAGATATAAGCATATGTACACAGATAAAAATATTCAGATCAAAAGCAGAAATTCTGCCGCTTCAGAAAATAAGACCAATTTTGTGATATATTTGATTGGTCGTACTCACTTTGTTTACTCCTGGTCTATTTTCAGACACATCTCTCTTTTCTGAAATGACAAGAGAGATGTATGAAATGAAGCATGTTAAAAGTGTAACAAATATTGTCATCAATCAGTATCACTTGATGTAAACAGACAGATGGAGTCAGGATCGGAAGAATTCACTTAAATGTAAAATATCACAATGACATCCTTTGTAAGACTTTCAAATAAGGAGAGGAGTGGTGAAATGAGGCTTAAGGTCGCGTTCAGATACCGCAGTTTTATAATGACTAGCGACCGCCTCCGTGGTCTAGTGGTAGAGCGTCCGCCCAGAGAGCGGAAGGTCCGGGGTTCGATCCCTGAATGCGTCATACCAAAAGACGTTAAAAGATGGTACTTGTTGTTACCCTGTCTGGCGCTCGGCATTTGGGGGCTAAAACAAGGACTGGTCGGCTCGGAGTCAGTAAACTGGGTCTGAGTGGGGTATTCATGTTAAACTGCGGCATGGTATCTCAGTGAGCTAGCACTATAAATCGGCATCAGTCCGGACTAGAACAAGCAGCCATACAAACACACACACGTAGATGCACGTCGCTATATAAGTGCAATAATCTTGGACGCGACGTTAAACCCAATTTCACCTCACCTATAATGACTAGCCTGCATGTGTGGTTTATAGTGCTAGCCAACTGAGATACCATGCCGCAGGTCAACACGCCTACCCTACTGAGAAACATTATACTGACTCCCTGTCGACAAGTCCTTGTTTTATCCCCTCAATACCGAACACCAGACAGGATAACAAGTACCATCTTTTGGTATAAAGCGGCCTGGGGATCGAACCACCGACCTTCCACTCTTCGAGCAAACGCTATATCGACTACACCACGGAGGTGGTCTGATTATCGAATATACAGGACTTTAATGAGAAACTATTTCGAAATCAGGGACTGCTAATAACAACCTATTTTCAAACCAGTGGGCACCCAATAACAAACTATTTCAAGAACCGACATCGAATAACAAACTATTTCGAATAGCGAGGACAGGGTTTCAGCTTAATGCGATGTCCAAGTGGAGCTTTAGATTGAAAATCGAATGCAATCACAAAGTTGTCAACACGCCATTAATCCTAATGATGCAATATACAAGCAATCACTCTAACATAATCCCCGCGTTCAGAGTAATCCCAAACTCCGACAATCAAAGCTGTTAATGTCGGGGGCGCTTATGAAACATGTATGATGCTCCTGTAAATACTAATCACCTGGCCATACGCGGGGCTATATGGGAACAGACTAATGATATTTACAGAAAGGTTCTCGTCGGGACTGGGGACAGCTAACTGTTGTTGTAAATCACTTCGACATTTACCAAAACGATTGACGCACATCAATAAAACTAATGTGATATTGAGGTCGGACTTACATGCCGGTGCCTTTGTGTACAGTCACTTGTAATTTCATACAGTGTTAAGAAATATATTATAAAACGCTGAAAGTAGATCCCTTTTAAAAGGTTTGTAATTATTTTGTCAATTACTCCTGCTTTTGAATAATAAAGATACACCTGCACTTACATTCTAAATAAAATAATAAACTCGCCAAAGGTTTGTAGAAATGATTTCTATCTCAACAAGCTCATGCATTTCGAGGTATATGCATGTAGATTTAGATTCATTTAATTATTTCAACATCTATGTGTGCGTATATGAGCTTAACACTATATCAGCAATGCAACTGTTCGCGCCTCTGGTGTATGTACAAATGCAGTTATCTCCAATCCAGACAGATGTAATGTAATATACTGAGAAGAAAATCGAATTTTAATTTTCTTTTCACATTACATCTACGCATATGCATCCAAAGTTAAACAAACAAAACATCCGCCTATCCAATCAAAACGCAACAGAGACTAGTTGCATCTCTATATCCAGTGTCAACCTTTCAGAGGGCTTTTATATATCCTGCCCATGACATTCTACATCCAGTTGTCTCATTGTTTGATCCGCAACCCAATACCTCCATATCCCATCAACATTATCTCTGACCTATACCGAACAAAATGTATATTGTCTCTGAAACAACCATTGTCCCCGGCGACGTTGTTCCTGGCAAGAGACTTAACACTAATTTCCCGCCTAATTCGGTGTCACTTGGGAGATGGAGCAATAAGTATTCAACAGACATTAAACCTCCTCCTACGACCTGCTCAAGTAGCTAGTCTTGAATACATTCATGCTAACGTGGGTGGAAGTTGTCCTGCGACCGAGGTTGCGAGAAGGCGTCGGAATGGAGGGACAGACTGCGACCCTAAACCACGCAAACACGACCCCTGTCATCTCCAGGGTTTTCTCGTGACAGCAATGCTACTCAAGTTTCCCATGATCCGGCATTAGAAGAAGTAATGCTATACCATGTGACTAGAAAGTGTTACATTGAACATAACGTGGTATTTCTCGCTGGTGTCGTCCACAAAGACTGTTAAGGGCATGTAGCTTAGGGATTGTAATTATACGTGACCTGTGACTTTCTTTGATGTATAATTGACAGATAAACCAGAGTACAGTAAACAAGTAAATATTGCTGGACATAACAATTATATTCAATAAAATTGAGCAGGTCGATAAAACGACGATAAATAATTAAACGGATTGGTAATAAGAGTGATTGTATGTATGCAGAAAAAGTATTATCAGTTGTATTGAAACATATGATAGATGGTTGACGTATCAATAGATAAATGTTTAATGTATAGATAAGAATGAATGGACGAATGCATTGGTAATTTGATGTTATATGCATGAGTTGGATCGTTAACAGATAGATAAAATGATAGAAATAATTAAATTCAATTAATGTTTCTTTGTCTTTACTTCACCAGACAATGTTAATGACACTGAAGGGAAATGCTTTTGATAAAAAGACAATAAGCAGAGGGCTCTGTGAAAACATCCCAAATAAAAAAAACGCAGTCTTCCTGCTGTCATCAATTTTGTCTCATAATCTTCAGTGATTTTCCTTTCATGTGTTTAGTCTTACATTGCCCCATGTGAGATTGTTCTTCCTTTGAAGTTGACCCTATCTCATAAAAAAACATGGTTGAAAGAATTATGTCTCCTTTGAAGATGGTCATTATCGCATCAGCGATTTTTCAAATAATCTATTTATAGTATCAGTAAAGGTATTGATATTTGTCTGAAATGAAACCCAATTACTTGATGATTGAAATCTGTTTGTAGCAATTAGCTGAAAGATAACGTTTGTCCAAGGGGAAATAGCATCCAGTACAAGTGCTATTCACCACGCGACAAATGTCGTTTGGTGCGACTGATGAGGGATGTCTAAGCGACCATGGATGAGGCACTAATTATGGTCGACATTTGTTATGACTACAGTGGTCGTTATTGATTATATTTACCTACGTCAACGGAACTGCGATTCATTTAGGCCTTAATAAACACGATAACTGAGTAGACGTCCGGTATCTATTGCCTTTTGGATATAGATTTAAGAAGTCTGAATATAGACATGCAACATACAATCGTCTTTCGTAGAAATTATAACAGTATACTTGGGTATAGCAAATTCGGATATGTCGACAAGTCATGAGTAAACCGGTTAAAATTGAAGTTAATATTATAACAGTATATATGTTAATAGCTTTTTCCTTCGTCATCAACGTTCGACACGTCTCCACGTCATCGACGTAGGGGCCATGTTTGTTAAGTCAAACACCAGTTTTGTTAAAGTAAAAAGGGTGACTAGAAAACTTGCAAAAAGGTATCTGTACATGCATAGACACAATGGTTTACGTTCTCAGTTAGCTTTACACTCCATTCTGAAGCTGAATAGAAACATCGAAAGGATTTGCCGTCTGTTGTCTCCTTGTAAACCACGATAAATACGATATTGCTTGGAACAAGGGATGTAATTGAAAATGGCCTCTAATTGTGATCCTTGTTTACAAGAGGACGCGAGGCTGGCACGAGAAAAACAGCGGCTGAATGTCACATCTTAAAAGGTTTCTGACATGAAGAAAATGGCCAAGACCTATTAGAGGGAACAAGTAAGGTTGGCATTTGCACAATGAATATCACATCGCTCTCAGATATCGATGGAGTGTTGTCTATGGGTAATGTGATGGTCCAGACTGACTAGGTAGGACAGAGACCGCAGGAAATTGTTCTGAGATAAGCTGCTTAAATGAAGGCGATGGGACCAGATTGGTCTGCAGAGGACCAATTATTGGATATGTTGGAATCTCCTAGGTATATTTAATGAGACCAACTTCAGTAAATTGAACATGCAGGCATTTTAGGATTCTATTAGTGAGACAGAGATGCCATCTCAGACAATAAGAAAATCGGTTTAAGAGTATGAATGCTCATATCAAAATGTTGTCCATTTGGAATAAGACCATGTCTCACAGAACGGGGTATAACCCTGAAGCATACTGACAGTAGAAGATTTGATACACGAGTACTGATGTTGTTGTATAAAATCGTACGGTACAATTTTATTTAGCAATGTCTACAGTATCTATGAAAACGTTATTGTTACGCAGTTACAATCTGTTACGTTCAAAGCCCCTTTATAAAACATGAATTGGTTGAGAACAAATATTGTAAAGACATACAAAAATATACGGTGTTTTTCAAAGAAAAGTCTTTCGATTAAATATTTGATGATACTTAGATTATGTGGAACGTTGGTAATAATTTGATATAAAAGGAGGTTACAAAGCGCAGACGCTAGTGTTAAAATATGCATGTCTAAGTTAACACCACAAAGGTCATTGAACATAAGCTGCCGCTATTGATTGGCGTTCTGGGTACAGTGTAGTGATCTAGTTTCAGATGGTGATATTTGATGTGATGTTCAATCCAAAAGGAAATAACTAGGCCACTGAGAACGTTTGTTTTCTTCACCATATCGATCACGCAAAGTGATTTCTGTTTTGAAATAGGTTTGCACAGAGTGTTATTTATACAGGGCTATTTTTCTATGTTGAAACATAACACGGGACCAATGTTGATATCGCGTAGGCGAGAATCAATTTCTGAT